TACTTATTTGAGCTGAGCTGAGCTGATCTGAAACGAGCTGAGCTGATCTGAAACGAGCTGAGCAGATCTGAAACGAGCTGAGCAGAGCTGAACAGATCTGAAACGAGCTGGGCCGAGCTGGGCCGAGCTGGGCCGAGCTGGGCCGAGCTGGGCCGAGCTGGGCCGAGGTGAGACGAGCTGAGACGAGCTAAATTTAAATGCCTCTGTTCGGCTTGTGAGATAGAGGCGTTTGCGTCATCATTCTTATCGAACCTCCCACGATGTTTCATTTTCGCGGTTGCACAACCACACTGAGAACGTCGCTTTCCCAACACCACCGCCACTAATGTGCACATGCTCTGCCTTATGTGTTGACTGCATCTCCGCTGAACGCTTGCTCTTTTGCTAGTCTGTCACCATCTGTTGACCGCCCGAATTTGTTAGTCAGGTTGATATGCGCTTGCTGAACCAGGCTGAATGGCAAGCAGGGAAATGTCCACATGCGCATTGCTACACAGCTGTGCAGACCAGTCGGCTGATGTGTAGCAGCGCAGTCTCAATTGTATTCGTACCTTACGGCCGGAGAGGCAAACTAGTTCATGCAATGCTATGCATGCACATTCGTGCGTGCACATGCCCCTACTTCCCGGGCAATCTTATGTGCACACCTGCCTCCACTGACAGACAACACACATACGTGGTCCGCACCGATTGGCCCCTGATATGCACAACTTGCACATCCCGCACATATTGGTCGAAGCTGGGACGTCTGTTTCGAAAATTTTCACCAATCGATACAGGACTGGGACTGAAATCGCTCGTCTGAGGCCTGTTTTTCATTGCGCCCTCAAGAAGGCCATTTTATGACAACGTGCCTTCTCGCTTGAGCGTCTCAACTCGGTCAGCTTGCTCGCTCGGTCCCACGCCACACACACGAAATGGTGAGTTGCCGTGCCCCAGAGGCCCTCTGAATGATCAAGTTCCACCTGCCTGTTGGTTACCGGGCCCTTTTTAGACGCCATTTCTCGTCGTCGCACTCGGGTCCAACACTTTGTTTTTTATCCCTAACCTTCTTCATTTTTTTCATCAGGCTGGTCTTCACATTCAAGCTGGTGATGTGGCAAGTCGATTCCTCTCCGAGAACTCTCTGGTGCCTGTCCCGTGTCAAGCACTATCAGGCGGCTCATCAAATCCGCCAAAGTTCGGAACTTTAATACCGAACAGGATATTTGTCGGCGGCATCCCGTCTAATGTAAGTAATACTGTTATTGCTCTATAGTGAATTTCTAAAGACAACAGAACAGGAGCTGAAGAACTTTTTTTCTACATTTGGCCAAATTAAGGATGTTAAAATTATTAATGATCGACTCGGCGCCTCCAAGGGGTATGTGTTTTGTAAAAATTAACCTTCCTGCCTACGTAGAAGCTACGGTTTTGTGACCTTTGAGAGCCAAGAAATGGCTGAAAAAATTATTAAGAATGAGGTAACTTTTTTTTCTTATACCTACTCACCACAGTCGGAAACCCTTATTTTTAAAGACAGGAAGCTGAACATAGGGCATGCAATACGAAAACAGGTAGGTATTTTAACATCTTTGTTTGTTGCAAAACCCTTTAATTCATATGAATTCTCTTTCATTTTCAGCAGGTTTTACCAAGAACTGGTATGTTGCCTTGATTAATGACTGAACGGGAGTATTTCTCACTTGGTATTGACCATTTTCTCTTTTGCAGACATTCCCGCCGCCCTCTTTTTCACGGGTAGCGCTATGGCTCCGTATGGACTCCAGAATGGAATGGCCGTCTATCCTATGTCCGGTCAGGACTACCCACTAATGGCCCAAGTATGTAGCCTGAACTTCATTGCTCTGTTTTCCTTCAATCATACTGCATTGCATCGAAACTCTTTCATATTTTGCCACTATTGGTTCATATGGCTCTTAAAGGGGCTAATGTCCCATGACCCAAGGCTTAACATAACATTCTGGGAAATTATAGTTCCCATTTTTATCAGGCAAGATACGTGATTGTGTTGGTTTGACCTCGTTTTCTCTACTTAGTCTGAGGGAAACGCAGACATTGTCTGAAGTACTTAGTCATTCGTCCTCCGTCATAGTACTCATGATTACTTCCATCATCGGACCTTTGAGTTGGCACGTTCTCAGTTGTTTCACTGACATTGCCGATGAGTCGCCATCCTTAGCACTGAATTGATAAGTCATAGCTGTCTTACGTTCCATAATGTCTCCCTGTCTCTCCGATCAGGTTGCGAAAATGAGCTGAACCAACACTTTACGAACAAAGGGCCACATTATCCTGGTCTTCATATCTAAAATAAGTGATGATATCATCATTAAGACAAATATGTTATGAAAATGGCATTTTATTAGCTTGCCTGATAAATGAGCTTATATTCTGGGTCATATGTTTGGATGATGCTTGCCCAAAAGTTACAAAAGAGGTCCAAAGTCTAGTGTCTCTTTAAGAAGCCTATCTTAGAGTCTCATTCTCTTAGTAGTGGCTCAAAACACTAACGATTTTACACTTATTCTATGTGATCTTGAGTTTGTGCGAAGATCGTTTCTTCATCATAGATTGCTTGCTGTATTTGCTTTTCAAGACGGAAACCGTATCTGTTATCGAAACAATAAGACTTAGCCTTGCAGTCTGTATAGACTAATTTTTATTATCGTCTCGAAATTGCCCACTATTTTG